TGTGTTAGGTGTCTCAAATCTGAAAATACAACGAAAAGTGAAAATGGGTCTTTTAAGCTCAAAGAGTGTAACGGTAAAAATGAATCGTGACACAATCTTGTGCTACAGGACAATCCGTAATGTATTAAAATAATTCCTATACAACTCAAGGAAGTCAAATGGCAGAGAAGCGAGGTATCTCAAGTTCAGTCAGCATAAAAACACTGTGCAACAGTGAGCGCTTCTTGGGAAAATCGTGCCAGAGTTATTAATGCTCTATAAATTAATTAGTGTAAAAATCACACAGGCAGAACATAACTGACAAGATTGGTAGCAAAATCAGAATCAACTGAAAAATATTCGGGAAGCTTTTGGACTTTTTTTTCTATTAACATCAGAGTTGCCTGAAGGTATGCACTTAAATCCGAGCAGCTGGATTTCAAAAACTGGTCTGCGTTTTGGAAGCAGTGAACTGTTAATATATTTGAAAGCCAGTCCTTTTTTTGATTTCTGTTTAGCTCAAGTTTCAATTCTTTTGTGGCTTAATTTTCATAAATGCTTATATTATAGTGATTGGAAATGCTGGGTACTCAGTGATTCTAAATTTTGTATCAGATACTTAATTGCTCTGTGCAGCCTAAAAGAAAATGTGAGCTTGGAAGAGGCACTTGCTGGGAAACGTGAATGCAGGAAATTCTTTTCAGCTTTCTTGTAACGATTTCTGGCATTATTAAAGAACAGTCCTGGGGAAAAAAGAAACCCTGTTGAACCATTGAGGCAGTTCCAGCAGACATCATAAATTTGTCAAGGTCCATTTTGAATCTAATTTCTCATCCCACCTCACATTGGAGGACTTCTCCAGAACATCACTCCTCAGGTGGCTAGAAAAGATCTGATTTCCAGTTTTAAAATTTTTACAGTCTGTTTGTATCTCTCTGTTCTTGTGCCAGCATCATCCTTTATTTTACGTAGCTTGAAAGTGTTTAAAGTCATATTCCCTTTTGGCTTTTGTTTTTCCCTGTTTTCCCCAAGGCAGGTGTTTAATCTCCACTCAGAGGATATGCCTGCTTTCGTGTTCATTCTTACAATTCTTACACACATCCATTCCAGCTTTCCTGCATGCTTTGTTTCTGCCCTGCATGTCCGTAGCAGAACATATTTAATGTCAGCAGATACTGCCGCTTACTGTGTGGAAGCGATTTCCAAAATTATTGATCATCGTCACATTCTCTGGAAAAAGTTGCTGAAGGAAGAAGGAAGAAATACGGCTGTGTGTTTTTATTTTATCTTTTTAGGAGCATGGCTGTGGCATCAGCATTTCAAAATAGGTAGGCATGTCAATATTTCTGTTCATCGGGCCGTAGTGCAAGACATTCATTTTCAACAGCCTGGCGATACAGTCACAAGCAGTCCCTGTGGCAGCTCCCACACTTGCTTGTTCACTGTCTTGTCTCAGACCAACCTGAAAACTTTCTTCTTTATAACATATGTGACCCTCCTCAGCTACTAGAACTCTTTTTTTTTTTTTTTTTTTTTTTTTGGCATCTTTATTTCTGTGTGTGATGCCATCATCATTCGCTTCCCACTAAAATGCTGTCTGTCTAAGGTCATCTGTTGATATATGCAGACTTCTCTGTTATCCTCTGTTGGGTCACTGTGGCATATGTCTTTGCCCAGATCATCTTGCAAGTACAGCACATGATAATTGAAAACGAAGTATTGTTCGCACTCTTAAATTACTAATGAAGCCACGAGATAATATAGAACTTTGAGCTTTGGCCCCCTTCACTCTCACTTGTTAATTCTTGTCTAAGATTTAGAAGGTAAGCTTTTCAGGGCAGTGATGGTATCTCTATTTGTCTATAAAACATTTGCCACAGTTTGGGGCACTGTTTTAAGGCTTTGTTAAGGCTTTTTCCCCACTGACGTCACCTTCAAATAATTTCTCCTTGGAACACGATTTGCCACTCTCTAACAATTCTCTTTTTTCCCTCACTACTCTTACCTGCTTTTCTTTTCTTGGCTTTAAAATAACATAGAAGATTGGGCAAGTTAAAAAACAGTAAGGACTTATAGAAGCTTATGAATTTAGTTAGTGACTCAAGATGAAAATCATCTTTTTGGTATGTTATTTTACACACAGCAAGTCAATAAAAAAGACTATCTAGTCATAGCTCAATATGAAATAAAATCTTAAGACAGCCCTAGAAGGTCATTTTTTCCCCCATGTCTTGTGTTTAAGAGGGGCCTTTAGCAGATGCTTAAGGAAGGAGCTTGAGAAACGAGAAGAGAGGAGTGTAAACCTTCCCCTTGCATAGCCTTTCCACTTCTGAAAGTGAATAGCTTAGGGACGCCCAGAGCCCAGGACGGTATCTGGATCGTTGTTTCTGATAGATGTCTGTGCACATATCCTCCATGAATTTATCTAAACCGTTTTTGAACTCATTTATGTTTTTGGCTTCTATAGCATCCTGTGGCAATGAGTTCCACAATTTAATTATGTGCTTTGTGAAAGAGTACTTCCTTTTGTTTGTTTTAAATCTGCTGTCTGATAATTTCATTGGGTGCCCACTTGTTAGGAGAAATAATAAATAACAATTTACTGTTTGCTTTACCGCATTTTTCTTGATTATTATAAACCTCCACCATAGTCATCTTAACTTGGAAAGCTAATGTCTGGTGAGTTAAGAGCCATAGTCTGGTTAGTCTCTGTATAGAGACTGTTCTGTAACTTGAATAATCCTTTCTCACCCTGTGGTGAAATTGTCCTGGTGTTCCCATGTCTTCACGAGGCGAGATGACCAAACCAGTATGTATTACTTAAGATGTGGATGCACTGGAGTCTCGTAATAGTCTATATTAGTGCAATCTCTTCTTTGTAGCTGTCTTGCATTACCGCAGAAGCCGGTATGACTTACAGCAGCTGCATATTTTTTCTTAACTTGCACTCCCAAGATCAGCAGAGGCCTAAAAGCTACTTGGTGTACCCAGTATAAAGCAGAGTCATAGGTTAGAGGCATGTTTTCTTCTGATGATGAAGGCTTATTGCTCGTATGCTTTCAGTTCGTATCGGGAGTTGAAAAGCCAGTATGTTATTCCTGTCTCCTGTGATCTGAGGGGCACAAAGTTAGAATAGCCACAACTTACACTTGTGAGTTACGGTAGCTGTAGTAGTTCTGAGGCATCATTCTGCTGGAGGGCATTGTGTCTCCATGAAGCGTGTGCCCTGAGACTTCAGCTGGTGTGATCTCATTTATCTGACTAGGGAACCTTCATGGCAACATTTCACTAGTAGGTCTGGAGGAGTCATGTCTGCATATGAATTCAAATCCATGTTTTTATTCCAAGTGGGTTCATTATTATGTTAGTTCAGATGACAGGTGCACTCATGGAGTAAACTTCTTGCTTGTGTCTGCTTACGGTGCTTTGGTTTGTGTCTTGGAGACAGCAGACTGTCTTCCTTTCAGATGAAGCTGTACTGAAAAGATGCACTCAGGGAGCACACCTGATGTGCTCCAGCTGTTGCTGGGAGGGTACCGTCCGCGGGACTGAACTGGAGCTAGACCAGTGTGAACTCCCCTGAACAGGTGCTGAGTCCTCAGCACTGTTTTGCTCTCCAGATACACTCCTCTTGCACTGTACTGTTTGCTAATGTAGGCGTGGGCCACATAGATCTCTGTAGGAGTTTTAAAACATTTTTAAACAGTATTAGACTTATCACTAACATTATACATGAGTTTTTGCCATCTGTTGTAGAGCACTCACAGTTATCACCACAGATCTTCACAGTGCTGGGTATTGACCCAAGTTCAAGTATTGAGAGGAAGTTATCTAAGGTCCCATAAAGACATACGTAGCAGAGGTACAAGGATAATTTGGATTGATTAAGTCTCAGTCTAATATCTGTGTCAAAAACATCCTTTTTCCAGAACAGATTAAAAAGAAGGAAGATACTGACAGCCTTAATTCAAATAAACGTCAGGCTTTTGTAACTGGAGAGTCCTTCCGTAACCGGTACTTTGTGATATTTTTGGTGTGACATTTGATTGGCAAAACGCAGTGCTGCAGACATTCCAGAGTGCTGTTGGGACATCACTGCTTTTTTTTGTCTCTCTGCAATTAAAGTCAACACTTCGCCTTTTCTGTTCAGGCTTTTGTGCCGTGCCTGTTGCTGTGACCTCCGAGGTACTCCTCATTCAGTCGTCTTGGATTAAAAAAAGAGAAATCAATATTCTTCTGTCTTTCTGTAATCAGGCATATGCTGCAATCCCTGCCTGTTACTTGAGGGACTGACCGTGCATGTGTGTGTTCCCAGGCAGCGTTAAACCTGGTGCAAACCAAAAATATTCTGTCTACACAGTAGGCCAAGCAGTTCCAGAAATGTGCTGAAATTATTGCATATTCACAGCTTGCTTATTCCGTGCAGGCACAGTAACATTGTCAGAGGGGGGAATAGGTACCAGGTAGGAGCAGTTTCGTAGTGTTTCCCGAGAAATTAACGGGGCCTGCGTTCTTGCTCTTGGCAGCACAGTGGGCTTGAGCAGTTGTTCTGTTGGGCTTTGTGTGTCCCTTAAGCCCCAAGCAGAGCTTTCGTGTCTTGTCTTGGTGTGCTGGCATGACAGAGAGAGGAGAACTTCTGAGCAGACTCCTCTGCCTAGGAACAGGCAGAAGAAAAAAAAGGCTTGCGCATGTGGATCTTGTGTGCTGCGTGTGAGGTTGAGGTTGAATACGTTCTTTCTTGGATTGAGTATTTCTTCTGCGGTTTGGGCGGCGTGAAATTTCTTCTGCAACTTGAACGAGCAAAGAAGCGTACTAAAAAGAGACTTCTCAAGAAAGCTTTAACAGAAGTGAAGATGATTGCATTATTAATAAATTAGATGTCAGACCACTGTGCCTTTGACTTCAAGGAATAATTTTATGACATTGCATTTTATTTTATTTCATTTGTATCTGTACAAGTGAGAAGCTTAAAGCTGTGAATCAATGCTAACTTTAAGAAAATGTTTCTTTTTATCTCCTAGGCTACTCGACATGCAGAAATGGTGGCAATCGATCAGGTCCTTGACTGGTGCAAGCAACAGAACAGAGATTACACAGAAGTGTTTGCACACTCAGTACTGTACGTCACTGTGGAGCCTTGCATCATGTGTGCAGCGGCCGTGCGCTTGATGAGTATCCTTTCGTGCTTACTCATGCTCGGAAACCGCATGTCAAAATGTTGCTCTCCTGACAGCGAGCCCACAGCAGAGGGCTTGGCACTGTCGGGCAGAGCCAGTGCGGGTACCATCTTACACTCGGAGAGTCTGCACCCACCTGCCTTCACAGCGTGGTGAAGAGCCAGAGACTTGAGAATGAAAAAGAAATGGAGCAATTGCGACAAACAGCGATTTCTCTTAGGGATATAAAAATACATTTTAGAGATACCTGTTGTTATGTAAAATGAGCTAATCTCAGTTCAGCGTTCTGTTTTGAGTGTTGTAACAATCAGTAAGCCATGGCTTTGTATGCCGCTGCTTTGGGATTCATGCTTCCCCTTTTCTGAGGAAGGCTGGATGTGCATCTTCAGCAATACATCTTACGTTACTCAGAAGTGAGTTCTGGTTTTATGAGGGAGGAATTGTAGTGCAAACTAATTTAGTTTGAAAAGTACAAGCACATTTTAGTGAAATTTAATGACTACTTAAATCAGGCTGCTTTGCTTCCTGCTTGCTTTTCTCTTTAACTTAATACCTTAACTCATTCGCATAAATTCCACGGGTTGTATATGGCTGTCGAAATGAGCGATTTGGAGGCTGCGGCTCAGTTTTGAGCATCTCATCTGATGATATGGTAGACACAGGAGACCCATTTGAAGTAAGCTATAAAACGTTTCCCTTTGTTTTTCAGCTAGGGTACTGTGCGTGGCTTCATTAGCGTACTTTGAGAATGTTACACATCAGTTTAAGAGAACTCAGATGAAAGATGATCAGAAGTCAAGTAAAATAGACTTTACAAGAAAATAAATAATGTAAAAAAAATAAGTCCTTAAATTAATGAAAATCTGATGACAGTTTTAAAATATTTAAAAGGATGCATCAGGGTGGAAAGGAAAGAATTATACTTGTGGAACAAGGTAAGGAATAAATATATCTAAAAGATGTGTAATACTTTGAACAGTAAGTGTATGCTGCAGGAAGAGATGAGGGAAAAATTAAACTGCGGAATGTACAAACACATAATCAATAAAGATCAAGTAACAGCAGTCGACTAAGTTACTGGTTTTTAGCCAAGCCACTGGAAATGGTTACATTTTTGCTCCCACTCTATCCATGTATGAGGTAAAATGCGTTAGATTAGGCCTAGTCGATATAGTTCAGATCCCAAAATAAATACAGACTGCAAAGGTAGCAGAGGAGATTTAGTTTAGATACCAGGAAACTTTCTGAACAGTAAGGATGCTGAAGGACTGGAACAGCGTGTCTGGGGAGAATGAGGCATCTTTGTCATTTAAGAAAGGCTGGACAAGCATTCAGTGGAGGTATAGTATGCATAAATCTAGAAGTTTTATAGCATTGTACTAGTATACCTATATACCTATACATACGGATAGATTTATAGCATTATATTTATTATACGCAGTTGTAGATGATCGTGCCTTATACAAGGATACTGATTAGGGTTCTTAGAGCTCTTTCCTACATGTAACATTTATGATTTAATGAATGTAAAAAATAAGTAATATTTCAGTATTGTAAATAAGCATTAAAGGCTCAAGGCTCAGAAATAATTTTAGTCAGCAAGATGATACTGTTTGGCAGTCCAGTGTAAGCACACTAAGCATCTTTCTGTGAGGGTGTTTGTGAGACTAGCATCTGAATTAATTTGTATAGTCTGTACTGGAAGAGTGTTCATTTGCTAACATCGGCACATAGTATTTAATTTTTCTGTATGTTCAGAAGAAAGGAGAAGATTCTTGCTACTACAGATCCTTCCTTTGTTTCTGTAGGCAACTGCAGTGGGCTGTATAGGTGTAATTCATTATTTTCTGTTGTGGGTGGGGATTCATGTAGTGTTAGTCGTGTTCAAACTCTTTGTCATTAATGTTCATGGGCTGGAGAAATATTTTGGAAGGACCAAAAAGGTCTGAGAGGTGACTGTTGGGAATAAAGAATAGGTGTGTAGACTTATGTTGTCTGGTAGGAATCTTATCTACAAATACCTAGGTGTATGTCTCTTACGTTTCCAAGTACTTGAAGAGTAGATGAAGTAAGTTGGAAACACAATAATGAGAAAGAAATTGCAGATTGCATAAAAATTTTACAGAAGTTACTAAACAAATTTGTTTTGCCTAACTTGAAGTTATTAGGGAAATTATTTACTCTCCTAAGCCTTGACATAGTATTTTTCAAACGTATGAGGTATTCAACCTGAAAGTGAGATTTTCTGACCCCCAAATAGTTAAAGGTGCATGTTAAATTAGTGGAATAGGCAGTACAGTTGTTTACAATTCTTCTGTACTTAAGGCATTATTGTGAAGCATAGAACATGTTATTCTCAGATGTGCTCATGAACATCATTTTAATTTGAACAGTGCGATTCTGGCTATCGTGCCAAAGAAGCAGTGGAACTGTTAAAAGCTTTCTACAGACAAGAAAATCCCAATGGTAGGTTTCACATTAATGGATCCATTTTGATCCCAACCTAATTTAAAAGAATGCGGGCACTGGTATTACTGTAATTTGCTTCTGGTGTTTTTTCTCCCCCTTTGTTTCTTCTTGGCAGCACCAAAATCAAAAGTACGGAAGAAGGACCATCGTAATTAGCCCTATGCTGATGGGAGACAGAAACTTACCAAAAAATGATATGTGAAGGTTTCTTCAGCATCCTTCTTTTTTTAAAATGTACCATCCAATTAAATGATGTCTAATGTTCTGTACAGAGTTTTTACTAATAGGATACTTGCTACCTGTTCCTGCATTTCTGTGTATGTGATTTCTTGTTACCATACATGACCAAGCAGAAGAATAAGTGGCTGTTTTTAGAAAAAGGAAAATTTATAGTTGAAGTTCACTTGTGTACAGCCAGATGGATCCATTAAAATGATGCCATTCTGCACAGCACATTCTAGAATATTTTCTTTCATTTTGTCTGTGGAGAAGCGTCTTGCTTTTCGATAATAAATGCTTGCTTAGGCAAATCCACATAAATCCCTTCGAAGGTTTTATGGAGCCTTCACGGTACGTGTATGTACATTTAATCAAAAGGCATACAAGGAACCGTACAGTCCTTGAAGATTTGAGGCAAGACCATTGTAACGGTTCTTCATTGTTTTTTACACCCCCTCTAGCATAAGCCATATTTTCAAACATAACTTCTGAAAGTCACATGCATAGGTAGACAGGTATATATGCAGAATCACATGCCTCAGTTTGTGTATGCTGTTGCTAATAAGCATAAGCAAGCGTCACTTGGCTGCACAGCATCTTCATGCAAAGTTGTGGAGAAACTCTCCACAACTCTCTTTAGACCGTCCACTCCTCTTGTGAATACTAGCATAAGAAATGCTTTATCATTAAGAATCCGCTAAGAAGTTGAAGTTGTTCTCTGCTATTAAATTACAGTAACTGAGATGGACAGATACGTGTGAAAACCAGGAAATGAAATTGGTAACAGTACAAAGAAAGTATCTTTGAAATGTTTATCTTCTTGTACCACTGGTTGGCTTTGTTGTTTCTATGCACTTCGCTTGCCCATGCAGTAATTTATAATCCAGAAGAGGGCCTTACAGTTCTAGTAATGAATTGAGAATAGAAGTACAGTTCAGTCTTGATTTTATACCCCTTACTGAATAGTTATCTTAAGCATGCAACTGTTTGTAGTTTATTTGGCTGATATTAAAAAATTTGAGAAATGCCTTCTTTTTTGATGTAAAAGTGGTTAAAAATGTATTATTATAAAAACTGAATACAAATAAACCTTTTAGATATTTCAAATAAATACTTTCAAAAGTGTTTTTTAAAAGAGCATTAAAACATTACTTTGTCACCATTGCTCCTGATAGCTTAGAATGGCTATTTTCTGTATTTACTTATTGTTTACAAGGGGACATGGGAAAGAAGCATTTTTACTACCATAATACCTATTTTCAGAGTTTAGAAATAGTATTCCTTTAACTTAAGCCCTTTACCTGACACCTGTGACCTGTCCTATTCTCCTGACTATTACAGCACTCTGAGTCTTTTTCTTTCCATAAGCAAAGAAGCTGTGATTCTGTGTGTAGGTTTCATTGTATTCGGAGCTGTGAGGGCTCATGAACCAGACAGCCAAGCTGGAAAAGACCATTTTTAATGACTGCGATGGCTTTATTGGAAAGAACAGTCACACCTGTGGTTATGGTGTTTGGCTGGTGATACAAGATAGCTATTTATCTATACCGAGATGTAGATTCAGTTCTCAGCTGGACCATAATTTTCCTATACCTGCAAGAAGTCACTGAAGTCCAAATTCAAGGAAGATGTTAGACTTCAGGCTTGTCACTGAGATCAGTGACAGTAGGAATTGGAGCCTACATACTGGTTTGGACCAGGATCTAAATCTCTCGGCCGCTGTTCTTCTGCAGAGTGTCTGAGAAGGCTTTCCTTCCCCACTGTCTTCTTTCCAACGACAGTGTTGTTAGCGTTAGCATAGTGTGACAGTAGGAGCCATGTAAATAAGTAGAAAGATTACTGGTAGTAAGACAAGACATCCTTTAAAAGCTATGTCCAATCCTGCAGTCCTTAAAAATGGAACAGAAATATTTTGTGACAGCAGTCAGTGGTAACCTGTCATTTTGAGAACAGTTTAAGTCCTGCTCAAAGCCAAAGGAAACTGAAGAGGGTGACAAAAATAAAAACTTCTGTTAGGAGTAATCAAGGGTAATAATGTGCATCTTAGAAAAAGGGCATAAAATAGGAATAGCATGGCAAACTAAAGACTGTTGGATTGCAGAAAGGTGATAAAAGATGCTTCTGTCTACTGTAGAGGATAATGTGTGAGTGAAAAAAAAAACAGTCTAGAGTTGAGGCACATTTGGATGTGTGGGTTTTTTTTTTTTAAGGATAATAATTAGCTTGGGGAATAAACTGCTGAAAGTTTAAACTGAAAGCAAAAATGTAGCCCATTCCCCTTAAAATCTTATGACATATGTAAGAACAAATGCAGATAGGCATTTTTACAAAAGACAGAAGTTAACTCCTGTTTGAAGGCAATTTTTTTTTTTTAAGGATAATAATTAGCTTGGGGAATAAACTGCTGAAAGTTTAAACTGAAAGCAAAAATGTAGCCCATTCCCCTTAAAATCTTATGACATATGTAAGAACAAATGCAGATAGGCATTTTTACAAAAGACAGAAGTTAACTCCTGTTTGAAGGCAACCGGCTCATCAGAGCCATGGCACGATGTTTCGACAGCTGGCCGGTGCGTGGCTGTCCCCTCCTCCCTGCCACCGGCCGGGCTGGGGCTGTCCTCCTTCTCTGCGATGGGAGCCCGCAGGGGCTGGTTGGGCCACCCTCCTGGCCTCCCTCCCC